GAGGAGGAGGAGGAGGAGGAGGAGGAGGAGGACTCTGAGCAGACAGCAGGTGCGCGTGAACCAAGGCAAAGCACCAGAAACACCATCCATGAAGCATCTTCTACAGGTGAGCCAGATGAAGGAGGAAGGAGGAGGAGGACTGACGACAAGAGCAGAAGGATGACAAGAATGTTTGGCGCCTGGAGGCAACTGAATGAATATGAGGAACTTATCGAGCCTGATAGTTCCCCTCACGCTGGTCATAGGAGGGCAGAGTAGTCCAGGATTGTCCTGAGAATGCGAGAGGAGAAGGAGGTGGTGGAGGAGGAGGTTGAGGAGGAGCCGTCGCAAGGCAAGCGAGCGATCAAGCACGAACGAGGGTCGCCCTTGAGGAAGCCGATCCACAGGATACGCTCCCGCTCCCACGAGAGGCGCCGACGGAGGAGGAGGAGCGAGTGGTTGCTGCTCGCGCTGCTTGCGATACTGGTGATGGCGACTCCTTCCTCCTCCTCGCGCATCACAACCCGCGGCACTCCATCCTCCGCGTGCGAGCTGTTGAGATGCGAGCCCGTCCTCCTCCCCCCGCCAAACTGATCCATGCCCCAGCTGTAAAGTACCGTTCGAGGCCCATCCTCCACCACCAGCGCTGCCTCAGCTTGTCAGACTCATGCATCCTTGCGCTCCCTCCCTCTTCCCTTTCCATCCTCTCCTCTCCTCTCCTCTCCTCTCCTCTCCTCTCCTCTCCCTCTCCCCTCCTCACCTCACCTCTCCTCTCCTCTCCCTCCCTCCCTCCCTCCCTCTCACCTAACGTGTGGAACATCCCGCATGTAACCGACACGACTCGCTTCCCCCTCAGCGTCGCGACCTCATGAGGCACGAAGCTGTTCTCCTGCGCCCCGCTCGTCCCCTGCTGTCCGCACCCGCCTGCCGCGCCAGTCAAAGGGAGAAAGCAGGTGCAGCAACTTGCCTGCTCCGCACGCGAAGACAGTTCTCGTCCTCTCCTCGCTCTCCGCCACCACCACCGAGTGCAGACCTCCGCAGGAGCAGGAGAGCGCGCGGGAGAGAGGAGGGAGGAGCATGCGGCGAGGCGAGAGGACGGGGCTGTCGTGAGTGCCGACGCCGAGCTGACCGTTGGAGTTGTTTCCGAAGGAGAGGATGGAGCCGTCGGCCATGACCACTGCAGTGTGATGGGAGCCGCAGGAGACCGAGGACGGGGGCCCGTCCGGCAGCTCGAGGGGGGTGGGGGAGCTGCAGCAGCTGTCGCTCCCTCCTATCCCCAGCTGACCGTGCGAGTTGCTCCCGAAGGCGACGAGGCCCCACAAGGAGCTCAGCAGGAGCGAGTGAAGTCTACCACAGGAGACGACCGTCACTCCTGCTCCCCTCAGCCCCTCCACCTCCTGCGGCTCCTTGCAAGGCCTGTCGCTCACAAACCCCAACCCGAGCTGCCCCTCCTCGTTTCCCCCCCACGACAGGACTCGCTGCTCGGCCTCTCGCGTGCAGCATACCACGTGCTTGAAGCCGCAGGAGAGGCTCAGCAGCGCGACCCTGCTGAGCCCAGGGATGCGAGTGAAGTACAAGACGGCCTTGCTCTCCTCCTCCTCCCCGAGGCCCAGTCGCCCCATCAGGTTGGACCCGCACGACATGGTCTCCTCCTCCGCGCAGCTCACGATGCTGAAGCTCTCCCCCGCCGCCGCCATGGTCGGAGTGACTCGCCCGAGGAGCAGGCGAGGGAGGAGGACGGTCTTCGCGCCGAACACGAAGGGGCTCCGGTGCCCGAGCCCGAGCTCACCCATGGAGTTACAGCCACATCCTTGCAACATGCTCTGATCTACCTCCTTCGCTTCTCTCCTCGCTGCTCGCTGCTGCTGCTGCTGCTGCTGCTGCTCGTCCTGCTCCTGAGGAACCCACTTGCTGGGATGTGACTCGAGGGTGGTCAGGTACTGGGAATCCTCCCTCCTAGTCGTCGGCATCTTCTCCGTCTTCCCCTCCCCGCCTGCCTTCCTCCTCGCTGTCCGCATCCTCCACGACTTGTGTCGTCCTCCATGTCCTATCTCCACGATGTTCGCGTCATCAGAGGCATCGCATGACGACTGAAACTTGTGATCCCGCAGCAGCTCCGCCACCTCCTGCCTCCTGCATCGCTCGGCCTCCTCTACCGCCGTCTTCCCGTACCCGTCTCGCTCCTCCAACGACGCACTCTCCTTGAGCAGAAACTTCACGACCTGCACGTTCCCTGCCGCGGCCGCCGCGTGCATGGCGGTCCTGCCGCTCCTGTCCTTGACATTGACGTCGACGTGCGAGGACATCAAATGCCGTAGAGCGACGAAGTCGTTCTCCTCCGCTGCCTGCACGAACTGATGTCCCTCCTCTCCTCCTCCTCCTCCTCCTCCTCCCTCCCCGAGCCCCACCTCCCCCTCCCCCTCCCTCCTCCCCCCCCTACGCCTCCCCCTCCCTTTGTTCCTGGCATTGCATCGCTCCTGAGGCAAGGCGATGCGGCTTTCCTGGTGGGTGTGGGTGGCGGTGGCCATGGCGGGGCGGCTGGACGGGGCGGGAGGAGCGTCGGCTGCTCTCCTCACCGTCTTCTCCTTGACGAAACCTGTGAGCCTGAGCTCCTCAGCTGCACGCGCTGACGCAGCAGCAGACGGGGGAGGAGCTGGGGATGTTTGCTTCCTCGCTGTCGGGCAGAGGTGAGGGAGGGAGGGGCGAGCTCGACGTCTGAGAGCCCCTCCAGCCTTCAACCATGAGCAACCCGGCGTCACGAGGAGCCAAAGTTTCAATGTAAACTCCTCCTCCTCACCCACTCCATTACCATCCTTACCTTCTCCTTCCCCTCTTCGATTCGTCTTGATCTCAACCTCGTTGACTCCTCTCCTCTCCTCTCCCTCTCCCTCTCCCTCTCCCTCTCCTGTCCTCTCCTGTCCTCTCCTCTCCTCTCCCTCTCCTCTCCCTCTCCTCTCCTCCTCCTCCTCCTCCTCCTCCTCCTCCTCCTCCTCCTCCTCCTCCTCCTCCTCCTCCTCTCAACCGGGAATCCGGCAGGATGCTTGCATGTCAAGCCCGAAGGGATGGACGGTCATCAGTCGCTCGACGTGTGTGGGACGAGGACGAGAAGCGTATGAGAGGGCACGAGCGCTACTGACGCGCTGGAGGGTGATGGACAACGTGAGGGATGGAGGGGCAGGGCGAGAAAGTCACGCGGCTGCAGGTGGCATGGGCTGGCGTCTTGTCGCCTGCGAAGAAGAACGAGGAGAAAGAGAGTCCTGTGGTGACATATGCGAAGTCAGAGAACGCTCCTCTTATGCCTGCTGCTGCTGCTCCACTCCCTCCCTCCCTCTCTCCTCCTCCTCTCCTCCTCCTCCTCCTCCTTCTCCTCCCTCTCTTCTTTATCGCACCGTTCATCCTTCCTTTCCTCCCCTCTCCCTCTCCTCCTCCTCTCTCTCCTCCTCCTCCTCTAACGCTTGTATCTGCCAGATGCTACGGAGGTCTCATGTGGGTCAGAAACCCTTGCAGGTGAGCCGCGACCCCCTCAGCACGACCTGACGAGCACAAGGCAAGTGTACGAGGACGTGGATGTGCCGCTTAAGCACCGGGCTCGCGATGCCGACTGCTTCTTCAATCAGCTCTCACCTAGCGCGAGACTGTCGCAGGTGCTACGCGCCCATCCTCATCGATACTCTCCTCTCCTCTCCTCTCCTCTCCTCTCCTCTCCTCTCCTCTCCTCTCCTCTCCTCTCCTCTCCTCTCCTCTCCTCTCCTCTCCTCTCCTCTCCTCTCCTCTCCTGCTCTTGTCTTGCCTTGCCTTGCCTTGCCTTGCCTTGCCTTGTCTTCTCCTCTCCTTTCCTCAGCACTAATCTCGTTCAGGTCGCCTACTCGACGCTGTAACCTCCTCCCTCCCTCTGAGTCCGCTTAGGCTGCAGCAGGCAGGGGCATCTGATCCGGGGAGAAGAGCGCCTGGCGGTCTTGTGGGATGGGTATGAGCCCAGCAAGGATCCCAGCAGCTCAGAGCTGGGAAGAGTTTACTTCGCCATCAGGTGGACTCCAGCAGTCTCCTGTCGTAGCTGACCTTCAGCTGGAGATCGGTCTCGGCAGGCTCCGGCCTGGTCGGCTCTCTACTCTTTCCGTTCATGCGACCGATGCAGTGAGAGTGAGGTGGGGAGGAGGAGGAGGGACTGATGTCATGTCCTCTCAGAGACAGGTTCTTTGCCTCTCAGCTGGACAGCATGCAGACATCCGTCAGCGAGAAGCCTTGAGAGGGAGCAGCTCGTAGCTATCCGTATGCTCCTCCTCGCCATCTCTCCCACCTTCTCGTGTTCCACTACCTTCTCCATCCTCGAGCTATGTCTGTCCATTCTTGTCACTTGCTCCTTGTAAAGTCAACCCGACGCCTCTTAACCTGCCGCAGCCGCCCGAGCGCCGGCTCTCCATCTTGCTGCATGGAGGCAGTAGTCTACAAATGCAGAGATGCTGGAAAGAAGTTGGGAGGTGGGGGCAGAGGGGGGCGAGAGAGAGAGAGAGAGAGAGAGAGAGAGAGAGAGAGAGAGAGAGAGAGAGAGAGAGAGAGAGCAGTGAAAGGTAAAAGGCAAGAGGAGAAACACTCCAACCAACGACTGGCAAACGCACATGTTTGTTATTTCTTAGTCGAATGCATCAACATCTTGTCTAGCGCTCGATGAAGGGACTTGGTCCTCTTCTCCTGCAGCTCCAGCACATGGCGGAGGTTCACTGAGCTCTCTCCCTGCCGCTCCTTCCCCCTGGAGGCCTCGCTCGACGCGCAGGTCTCGTTTGTCTGCTCCACTGTCCACCAAGAACCCACGTCACCGTACCAGGCTGCCGCGCCCAGCACCAGCACCAGCACGAGCGAGGCGATGCAGAGGTACTTCACGAGACTTCTCAGGCGCCTCGCCGTCTCGTTGCGCTGGCCCACAGAGCAGAGCTGAGCCAGCACGTCTTGCAGGCGAGGGTCGAGATGCTCGCCCAGCAGCGCCACCATCCCCGTCGCTAGGTCAGCAGCCAACGAGACGACGTAGAGGAGAAGGGCAGTGATGTACCTGGTGGCCCGAGAGTCCGAGAGGATCGTCTGAGAGGAGAATATCTCGGAGCATGCTCTGAACCTGCTCCCCGACAAGGGTCGTGGGTGTGAAGACGCATGGTCCTGACCGCTCGTACTTGACATCCCCCGCGCCTCATTCTCCTCCGCGATCTGCGACAGGCGCGACGGAAGGCGCTCGTCTCGTTTCTTCCGGCAGAACTCACAGGGTGACTGCAGGACGCAGGTGCCCGATCGGGTAGCAGACGCCTGCGACTCGCCGAGCTGCTCCAAGTCGAAGGAGCCGGACTTGCGTGGCGACAACTCGAAGTGGTTCTGTAAGAAACGCCCCAGGAGCGTCTCGATCTTGATGTTGTCATCGTTGAGCACGCACTCCTTGCGGCAGACAGGGCATGAGTGCTGCCCGAAGTAAGCCGCTGCTGATACGCATGAGTTGCAGAACCGATGGCCACAGGAGAGCACGAGAGGGTTGTTCAAGACGTGCATGCAGACAGGGCATTGGAACACGTCGGGGGAAGGCTTGTTGCCGGTCAGTCGCTCGATGAGCTGCAGCGCCAGGACTTCGATGTCAGCGATCAAGACGCCGAACTCCCTAGAAGAATAGAAGGTGCAGCGGTGCAGAACGCCGATGTAATGGTCTCGGATGGCGACCGTGGAGTTCTTGTCGTGCTTCTTGCATATCTTAACGATGGCCTGGGCGTTAGTCATGACGAAGGCCCTGAGAAGGTCAACGTCGGACGAGAACTTGAGCAGCTCCTCAATCAGACAGGCCTCGGGCAGCCCTGCCAGCTGCTGCTTCAGCTGCATCAGGTTGGTACATTCCTGCAAACTCCTGTCCCTCTCTTCCACCCTCGTCACCCGGCGGCACAGCTTGCGGAAGGTCGGAGTCATCTCAGCCACCTTCGTCCTGAAGAATGACTCGACCTTGGCGATCTCGCTCTCCAGCGCCAGCACGAAGCGCTCTTCAGCATCCGAGATCTCCGACTGCGAGCGAGCGAACACTGGGAAGTCGAACGAATCGTGACTGTCCAGGTTGTCCAGCGCCTCGTTCCGATCATTGCGATGGGTGATTGGCTTCAGCAGCCTTTTCAAGGCCTTGTAATCCAGAAAGTAGCTCGAGTACTCTTGATGCTGGAGTGCCACTGAATGAATCCGCTTACCAAACTTCATGATCCTAATGACGTCGCTTCTTGCGCTCGTACTAGCCAGGTTCTTCACTGCTCAAGTTCAACAATCGTCGCCTACAAGCACGTTGACACGTCTCTCACAGTCTGAGAGTTTCCTCGTCTCTCTTCTCCTCTCCTCCTCCTGTCCTCCTACTCTCCTCTCATTTCCTGCATCCCATGCTACACCCTCAATCAGATGTACTACTTTACCACCCCATTACCAAGCACACCCCTTTGTGCTCATCTACACCCCCATATCTTGGTACCCTACCTACCTAAATCAGATTTTTCAAAGGATATGCCCTTTTGTTTGACTACCATCACCCACCCATAAATAAATGCTACCCCTTTTCTTCACCTCCCACCCCCATTTCGCCCACTCTTCCTCACATTTCAAACGAAACGCTTCAAACCTCAAGGAATGTGATGATCAAAAGGTACTACCCTACCCCCTACCATACCACACCACCCCCAAATTTACGGTTTTGTCAGTCTTTATTCCATGGTACCGTCTCTACCCCTACCTGCTATAAAGTCAGCTGATCACCCGTGTGGTTGACCTGCAACGTGTGTCAGAAAGGGGGTAGATAGTGAGAGGGGTAGGGGTAGGCTGGTACAAGGGGGTGGAAATCGGAACTATTCGGGCAAGTTGCAGAAATAGATGTCTGTGGGGTGGGGTAGTATGGGTAGGGGTACTTTTGACTTCAATCTAAGGGTGGGGGTAGTGATGGGGGGTAGTGGGGGAAAAGACGATTCCCCTGAACGAGAAGTCTTAAAGAAAAACAAGGTAAGCTAAACAAATAAAAATAAAATTAGCTAAAGTAGTTGTCTCCAGCCCTACATCCTACGACCGAGCTGCTGCCAAACGGTTCAAAGAGTAAATACCTGTCTATGTTTAAGTTGCTGTCCTTGGTTTGTTCACTAATTGATTCCTTGAGGCGAGCTGGGGTACAAAGTTACAGACGGACCATGGAGTGTTGCGGCACAAACACAGGTTAGGGTAGAGTAGCACAGAGTAGGCCAAGACAAGACAAGACAAGACAAGACAAGACAAGACAAGACAAGACAAGACAAGACAAGACAAGACAAGACAAAGACTGCACAAGAAGGACAAGATGAGAATGAAGAAGAGAGAAGCAAGGAGTAGACATGCAATGCAACAATGGCAGTGTCAATCAATGGTAACTTGGGAAGATCAGTACTTTGACGTTAGTTAGAGCAGACCTCATGCCTTGATTTCCCTTCTCAGTTGCCTGCTTCTTGGATTCAGACCCGATGAGCTGACAAGAGGTGAAGCAGGATGGACTAGTCGGCGGCGGTAAAGAGAAGAATGGAGGACATCCACTCTAGCGGACGCGGGGAAGAGGAGGAGCAGGAGGAGCATGAGAAGAGAGAGGAAGACAGCGAAGGTTTCCATCACTCGCCTCGCCCTTGCCTGTTGGAGGAGGCTCAATACTTGATAGATGTGGGAGATTTCATCGGATCCGGAGTTCTACCATACTGCTTACAGGTGTTGTTCTTTCCTCTTTTCCCGTCTCCACCCACATTCCTCCTCCTCCCTCCCTCCGCCTTCCCACTTGCCCGCCGTCATCCCTCATCCTTTCTTCTGCCACATCCTCCAATCTCCTTTTCCTTTCCCTACTCCCACTATAAACTTCATACCTCCCTTCTCTTCTCCTAGTCTATCTTCCTCCCTTCTCTTCTCCTAGTCTCTGCCGCTGTTCCACTTCCTCGTGGCCACTTCTCGTCTGTCTCAATCAAGCTGAAGACTCACAGGACAACAAAGTCAAGCTCTTCCTCGGCAAGGAACTCGCTAAAGGCTTCACGATCGCGGGGAAAGTCAAGGTTGCCTCGTCCTCTCCCTCCCTCCCTCCCTCCCTCCCTCGGGCCGTGACCGAGGGAGGGGAGGGAGTGCGGAGGTTGGAACTGGTCAAGTATGATCTGCAAGGACGAAG